CAGGCCAAGTTCCTCTCATACTATGTGAAACATGGCGTGCTGGAGAAGGATCCGTTCGAGACGCTGGACCAGGAGGGCGTGGGCGAACTGGTGCGTCTGGCCGTGGAGCGTGGTCGCGCGACGCGTCCCAAGATCGAGTTGGGCATCTGCGGCGAGCACGGCGGAGACCCGCAGTCGATCGAGTTCTTTGAGAGGGTGGGTCTCAAGTACGTGTCGTGCTCTCCAATGCGCGTGATGATCGCTCGTCTGGCGGCCGCGCAGGCGGCTCTGAAGCTGAAGAAGAGCTCACCCGTTCCCGGCGCCTAAGGGACCGAAAAACTGGTTGCACTTCTTCGAGGGTTCTGCTATCCGGAACAAGACAACTGAGGCCAGGCTGGCGAAGCAAGCTAGCAAATATGAGGCTCTCGAGTGCGTTAGTTCATGTGTGTATGAGCAGTGACGTTGTCGAACGTTGAGGCGGCAGCTGTTGCTGCGTATTGATTTTTAATGCTAGTTGTTGACAGAAAAGTGTGCTTTGGTGTTGTTATACGTCGAGCTTTCTTTGTTTTTGATTTTTGTTTGCGGCTTGGCGCGATCCCCGATGTCGCGCACAGTCGCAACCTTATTTGAATGCAATGTCCTCTTGAATGGCTTCTACCATCAAGTTGATATTAGCTCGCTTTTGAAAAGGTGCAACTACGATAGCGCTGCGTGAACAAAAACGAAAATGACGATGAATTCGGTATGATCCAATAGTTTTTGTTTTAATGCTCAATGCATTTGTAAATCCTGATTTTAAAAAAACGCGTAGATAGACGTGTACTTCGTACTCGAGCAGTGCAGCACATGAATTGAAACTCAACCTCCCTCACTACTGGAAAGTGTACGCAAGTAATTCGTGTGCAACTTGAGCTCAATTCCTCTCGTAGCTGCAGCCATGCACGCCTACACGAGAAGTGCTCTTTGGTGCTACTTCGTCAGAGGCTGCTTCGAGCCTAGAGGTAGCCGTTAGTTTTCGAAAAATAGCGGGAGCAAGACACGCGCGAATCAGAGAGCGCAGCAGCATGATACGATCATACCTTACAACATGTAACAAGACTCTTTGGCTCGGTTATCTTACTATCGATAGCTGCACCGAGCATGACGTTGTCACCTTTGCATTGGTTGCCCCGGGCAATGCCCGTCATTCGATGTCTACCACTGGAAACACTACACTTCTAGTGGAGTTTCTCTATTTCTAAACGGCCAATAGACTTCGACTCGTCTATGCAACTTCAACCTGAAAAATCCATTTCTAAGCGAGCAAGCGAATTTCTATCGTGTTTCTAATCGATGGAAAAGACTCGTTTATGCAACTTTATTTTGAAAACGAAAATCTACGTGAAGTTAAGTCAAAACTATAGCCCCGTTTCGGTTGACGTTTCTATCCCACAAGCCAGTTGTCAACGCACACAGCTCCGATGTAACTTTATTTAGTATCATCGATAAACCATTGGTGAAATCCATCGTCGTCCCTTGTCCTTGTCCTCACATTTCGAGTGAACTAAGTTCGGTTCAGCACTCAAATTAGGGGGGACATCCAACGAGCGCTTGAGGCCTCAATCGTTTCCGAGGTTCAAGATTCTGTAGCAGCAATATGTCTGGACATTTTCACAGGTGGCGCACTCGGAGTATTGATGCGTGGGATACTCTCCAGGTGGAACTGCACGGTCACTATTCTGCTGAGCGATTGCTTGAACTTCAGAACTACTCAAACACCGCCAGTATTCCAGGGTTAACAGCAATTATCCTATTTACCCCACTTCCATGCCTATTCACGGTAATTCTCGCTGACTTCACGCCCTTGAATTCCCCCGAAGTTGGGACAGACTCCAATATGGTTTTCTGGTTGCGTGGGTCGATGGTTGTGTGGTTCTTCACTTTGTCATTTGTCGTGCAGTTCCGTGAGATGATGCCCAAGCTACCAATGACTCAAGCTCGCGGTTTTGGTGTAACTCTTCTTGTCAGCACTGGTGTAATGCTTTATTGCTACTCGTTGTCTCATATCATCGGTTTTCCAGTTCCATTCCTGATGGTTATGGGCGCCCCCGTTTGGACGACTCTACTCCTGAGTTGCTTTGCAATTAGTTGGGTAAAACACGTCCGAGCCGACACAAGAGTGCAAGGGCAAATTGTAGACGGGTTAAAAGTATTCGTGATTCAAATGTCCATGATCGTGATATACCCGTTTTACATCTACTGCTTTACAAAACTGTCACATGTGGCCCAGGCCGCATTCTCGCTACTGTTGCACGTCATCAAGATGACTATCAAGAACGGAATCAGCCGCTACATTCGATCGCAGACGGACATGAAGCCTGAAATTGTGATCTTCAACGTCGAAGTCTTCAATGCGCTTTTCGCGTCGTTTTGCATGCAAAACTCCTCTACAAAGCTCACAATTGCGGTTATAATGGCAGCTGATCTTCTGCATATCGCTATTTCTCTGCGTGAAGTCTTGCTCATGCTTCGAGAACTGAAGGAAATTAAGAGGCAATTAGACTTAAATGAAGCGTTGGTGCGGGGTCCAGAGCCGACAGTAAATCCAAGCATGAATGCCATGACACGTGCGTGTTCAATTCTAAAGCACATGAGTGGATTTGATAAAGATACGCTTGATCAGCATTCAAAGAGATCAAGCAAACAAAGCGCAACTTTGTGGTGTTTTCGTCGAGATAATAAAGTACATCCGCATTCGAAAGCAAGAACATCTGTAGCTGTACACGATTCGACCTCGAAGTCACAAGAACCTCGAGAAGATCAACCCACGGAAGCCGACATTAAATGTTGTACACCTCCGCCTGAAACACTTGAATATCGACTGGAAAAGATAAAGGTCGTGTATGTTCACAAGGTGGCACGTCTGCTACATTTGGTGGAGTTTATGATCCTGGTCGAGTACACAGAGGTCATCGTTCCGGTTGTCTACTGTCAGTCTTACTTGTTTTGTATTTCGCTGTCAGTACATCTAACTAAGCTCATGCTTGTTTTGATTAGCCATTTACGTTGGCGCCATGTCCTATCTCCCAAACCGTGTATATTACCCGCAACTCGCGGATATGGGCGCTGCTGGATTGCAAAGTACTCTGTCGAACGTGCTTTTGTATGGGTTCCTAGAGTTCATTTCGATTCTTGTGCTTGAATTCGTGCTTCGCAAATCGATTAAGTACTCCCCGGTATGTCAGCTAGGGTTCGTGCTGCGGAACCAGTGGAAAATGGTGCAATCGAAGCTGGTTCTATGGGTATTGTACGTTGTACAGTCATCTCTGGTACATTTCGGTAAGAGAAGTTTAAATAGTTTTGGTAGTCGGTGTGATTAAATCTTTATTTCGGTTAATGCTGCAGGTGCCGACTACAGTTTTCAATTTGCTTGGCTGCATCAATCCTCAAACTCATAGCAAGGGAGCACTCGTTTAGAGCCATCTTTGACGGAGCTGATGCACGAGCGGTTGGATCGTAGGCAAAGCCGGCTTAAAGTCAGCGATGGCATCAATCTTCGCGCGAATCTCGGGCGTGATCTTGTCAACAAACTCCAGCGACTTCAGGTTCTCTTCGAGCTGCTCAATCTTCGACGCACCCATCAGACATGTCGACACATTCTCATTAGCGACGCTCCAGGCAATAGCAAGCTGAGGCAGCGAGCAGCCGATCTCCTTCGCAACTTCTGCAAGCTGCAGAGATTTCGTAGTTTTCTCTTCCAGTCCATTCGACAGCATATTCGTGAACGCTGGAACGGACATGCGCGAGCCTTCCGGGATTCCCTTGCTATACTTGCCAGTAAGCACACCACCAGCCAGAGGGTAGAACGCAGCCACTCCGTATTTGTATTTCTACATGCACAAATAATTATGTTCAGTACAGCACAATAGTTTCGTGATTTGTGTTTCCCTGTTTTTCATGACTCACCTTGTACAGGTCGACAAAATTGTAGTCAACACGGTTGCGATCGAGAATGTTGTAGCGGGTTTGGTCAAACGCCTGCATAAAGGAGCGTAAGTCAGGCACAGACGATATTCGCCGAGTTCACTTGTTGCATACCGGTCGGATCAGGCCAAGGCGGTCAGCCACCTCACAGGCCTCAACAATTTCGTCCGCGTTCCATTCACTGGTCCCCCAGTACAATGCCCAGCCTTGCTGAATTACATAGTTCATCGCGCGAACCTGGTTTCGCAACATTTTTACGGGGAATTGTTAGAAATACAAACTTTCATGAAGAAATCGCTAATCTTACCGTCTCCTCCATGGGTGTGTATGGATCCTGGCGGTGGCAGAAGATCAGGTCCACGTAGTCCAAATCGAAGCGTTTGAGCGAAGCCTTCGTGCCTTCGATGATGTGCTTGCGACTGAGGCCCTGGTCGTTCGGCCCCGCTAGACCAGCAAAGTTTTTAGCGCTGAAGAAGATCTTGGTACTGATCACGAGGTCCTCGCGGTTCCAAAGATTGCGTTCGATACCGGTTTTGATGATCTTGCCCATGAAAACTTCCGACTGACCGTCCGCGTACGCTTCAGCACTGTCGAAGAAATTCACGCCGTGCTTGAAAGCAGTCTCCATGAGAGCGTAAGACTTTTCAAAATCGAGTTGCGTGTCGAACGTGACGTAGCTACCGAGGGACAGCTTGGACACCAGCAGCCCGGTGCTGCCCAGGAATCGGTAGGTCATGCGGTTGGTGGGTTTAGCAACGGTGCTCATTTCGGACGATTGCTTGGGTTGGGAGGAACTAGAGGACGAAGTGTTTTGCTTGAGAGGACGCTAATTGGAAAATGAATGCATCCTGCTCGTCTTCACCGTACCATCATAATCTTTATGAGCTGGATAATCATTGCGCCATCGAATTCTCAAAATGTGGTGTGTCCTGGTCACGTGTGCATCGTCTTCAATATTGTCACGTGATTGTTCACGCAGTCGAATCGATTTAGGCAGCCGTACTATAGACTGCAGTTAGCCACACGACCGAATGCCGGCGGCTTTTGCGGGTAACTCAAGCACTAAGACCGTGTTTATATAGTAAGTACGTGCAACTCGAAGGCACCTTCGCGATAAAGTACACTTTTTCAATGTCCTCAACGCTCAACACAACACTGCATGCACCGGTGATTGCGGGGGCAGTGGCAATTATGGTGCCAGGCTGGCACTGCCATCCACGAGCTCCTGTCAGGGGCCTCCTGGGCAGGAGTCCTGCTGCGCGCTAAAGGTGTTGCTGGTGTCCGACACCGTGTCGTGACGCTCATCATACACACATCAAATATGCACACTTCGGATACCTGATCCCTTTCAAAATTCTCGCCTCCCATTGGCTATCTACTCCAAACTTTCATTCAGTAGCTGCTTACAAACTCCAAGTGTCCGCATAAATGTTTATGAAGATCGCATTGTCAGCAGCTGACTCAGGTGCCATTATCAAATTTGCCTCAAAGTGCACAAGCCGAAGACACTTTGGAATATACTCCCACCACGATGGCCGCACCCGCGCACAACATGAAGTACCGTTTCCTGGGCAACACCGGCCTGCTGGTGTCTCGCTTGTCGTTCGGCAGTTGGGTGACCTTCGACAACCAGTTGGACTTCGAGAAGGCCTACAGCATCATGGAGCACGCCTACAAGAACGGCGTCAACTTCTTCGATAACGCTGAGGTGTACGCCAACGGCCAGTCGGAGCTCATCATGGGCAAAGTGGTGAAGGCGGGTATCGAGCGTAAGGTGTGGGAGCGCGAGGACCTGGTGATCAGCACCAAGCTCTTCTTCGGCACCAAGTCTGGCCCCAACGACGTGGGCAACAGCCGCAAGCACATTGTGGAGGGCATGAAGGCCTCCCTCAAGCGTTTCGACCTGGACTATGTTGACCTTGTCTTCTGCCACCGTCCGGACCCCGCCACGCCCATTGAGGAGACCGTGCGTGCCATGAACTTCGTGATTGAGCAGGGATGGGCCTTCTACTGGGGTACCAGCGAATGGTGCGCCAAGGATATCATCGAGGCCTGCGAGATCGCTGACCGCCTCGGCTTGATCCGTCCTGTGTACGACCAGCCGCAGTACCACATCTTGGAGCGCTCGCGTGTTGAGTACGACTTCGACGTGCTGTACAAAAAGTACAACTACGGCCTCACCACGTGGTCTCCGTTGGCATCCGGTATCCTTACGGGCAAGTACAGCAAGGGCATTCCGGACGGCTCGCGTCTGTCCATGCCATCGTACAAGCAGATGCTATCGAACGGCCTGGAGGAGAAGGTCGCCAAGGCGGACAAGCTCGCTGAGGTGGCCAAGGAGGTGGGCTGCTCGCTGGCGCAACTGTCGATTGCTTGGGTGGCTGCAAACCCGCACGTGTCCACGGTGATCCTCGGTGCTACCAGCATCAAGCAGCTGGATGAGAACCTGAAGGCTATGGAGTTCGTGGACAAGATCACCCCCGAGATCCGCAAGAAGATCGACGCCATTGCCGACTTCAAGCCCAAGCTTGTGCCTCAGGCTGAGCCCCACGTGATCAACCTACGCCAGAAGTGGCTGTAAACGTAGTTTGCATTTTCGCCAACCGGGAAGCCAGTTTATATCTAGACGGTCATCATACTAGCTCAGCTGCGGACTGCGCTTGAGAAAGAGGCATCGCAATTTTTGCTGTTTGGTTGCCTCGAAAAGAATATAAATCCAAAGGTTCCCCTTGTAGTTTTGTAATTGATATTGTGGAGCACGATACGTGGTGGCTTGATGATGCCAATTCACGCTCTGACTTCCGGTGCTTCAATTGTGTTTGTAGTCGCGGTCGTTGACGTCGACTGGAGAGTTTACGAAATTCGGTGGGAAGCATTCCTGTCTATGCTTTGCTTGTCCGAGTTTTGCACCGCCGGATCAACCAGTCCTCGCATCGCCTTCAGTCGACGAGGTGCTGCTTGAACCAGTCTCCATCTTACCTGTTTTCATTAACCCCACGTCACCTCCGACGAAAGCTCTAGTTTGGTGAGACCATGGTGCAACTCAAGCAATAGCATCTTGGTGTTGGGATCTACTACTACTACCTACAAGTACGTCAGACTTTCGTTTCGGAGCCTCACAACTCAATCCGCTTGAGACACAGCAGCACCTCTTCCTCCGCGGTTGACCATGAGCACCACGACGCCGCATAACATGAAGTACCGTTTCCTTGGAAACTCGGGCTTGCTGGTCTCTCGCTTGTCATTCGGCAGTTGGGTCACCTTCGATGCGCAACTCGATTTCGAGAAGGCCTACAGCATCATGGAGCACGCCTACAAGCAGGGTATCAACTTCTTCGACAATGCTGAAGTGTACGAGAACGGTTGTTCTGAACTCGTTATGGGCAAAGTGGTGAAGGCCGGTATCGAGCGCGGTGCCTGGACACGCGAGGACCTGGTGATCAGCACCAAGCTCTTCTTCGGAACGAAGCCAGGCCCAAACCAGGGTGGCAACAGCCGCAAGCATATCGTGGAGGGCATGAAGGCGTCACTTAAGCGCTTTGAACTCGACTACGTTGACCTGGTCTTCTGCCACCGTGCCGATCCATTTACCCCTATGGAGGAGACGGTAGGTCTTGCAGTCATACACAACAGACTATGAGGTTTTTGAATTGACAGCTTCGATCATGTTGCTAGGTCCGCGCGATGAACTACGTGATTGAGCAGGGCTGGGCGTTCTACTGGGGCACTAGTGAATGGACTGCTCAGGAGATCATTGAGGCCTGTGAAATTGCCGATCGTCTCGGCTTGATCCGTCCGGTAGGTGCAATTATCGTGATGTCCTTGCCTCAAATCTAACAGAGATATTATCTGCAGGTGTTTGACCAGCCGCAGTATCACATCCTGGAGCGCTCGCGCGTCGAATACGACTTCGATGTGCTGTACAAAAAGTACAACTACGGCCTCACCACGTGGTCGCCGCTGGCGTCCGGTATCCTTACGGGCAAATACAGCAAGGGCATTCCGGAGGGCTCGCGTCTATCCATTCCGCTGTACAAGAATCTGCTTGCGAACGGACTCGAGGAGAAGATCGCCAAGGTGGTCAAGCTCGCTGAGGTGGCCAAGGAGGTGGGCTGCTCGCTGGCGCAACTGTCGATTGCTTGGGTGGCTGCAAACCCGCACGTGTCGACGGTGATCCTCGGTGCTACGAGTATCAAACAGTTGGACGAGAATCTGAAGGCAATGGAGTTCGTGGACAAGATCACGCCCGAGATCCGTGAGAAGATCGACGCCATTGCCGACTTCAAGCCCAAGCTTGTGACGGATCCGGAGTCTCACGTGCTCGCGCTCCGGAAGCAGTACCTGTAAGTTGCCAGTGGTCTCGAGGATGAGGTACAATGCACGAGATAGGTGGGCTATCATGCTGTAATACAGTCCATTTCTAGTCACATTTAGCTCGTTTCAAATGCCACTCGGGATCTTATTATCATCATCTGACTTTTGGCGGGTTCTGATCTCGTTTGTGATTGGTTTGTTCCAATCAACTCAAAGTTTTCGCGCGCAATTCGACTAGGTACGATTTCACATCTCTCTTTCTTTTTCATCAGACGTGAAAAAGCGCGAATTGGCAACGGGAACTTTAACGCTTGCTCTTCACTTGTTAGTGATCACCACAGCACCGCTACTGTGACAAGACAAACGTCTGCGTATTCTACGCTATCTCATTATCTACATTCCGCTTCTCCAACGCTTGTACATTCCATGCCGACCACGCTATTAGCCATGGAAGACAGCCACCATTTCTCAACCAACATCGGTCACGGTACGTTCTAGGGGGATTCCGAAGTTATTTCTTGGTGTTTCGGCGTCTAATTTTTCTTGGACACAGACTCCTTTGACGCTGACAGTCTCTCAGGATTCCATACAGCGTGGATGGACGATGAACAGCTTAATAATATGCCAATCATGGATGCGTTCACGGATGTATCGACCCCCAGAGCACAAGACAATGCCACCAAAAGCCAAAACACAGCAGACAAATCTACAGAGCAGTTTGTAGCAGCAGATTCGGTGCTCAATGCGGCACTGGGAGACCACGACGCTCAGCTACTGGGTGATGCACTGGATTTCTCCTTCGACACGGAGTTGTCACCCATTCTGGAGCCTTTCGCAGATGCCACTGTAGCTATGAGCCCACTGAAAATGCAACGGAGACAGACTAAGAGCCCTAGGACACGAAGGACGACCAGTTCTCCTTTAAGGAGAGCACCAACAGCCACAACACCTCGACAGGCCAGCAGGATGGAAGCTAACAGAACCGACAAGGAGACAGCATCGTTAACTATGGCAAAGCGACCTAGAACCAGGAGCTCGTCGTGGCAGGACCAGGAGCAAAACACCTTCTTCACCATGTTTAAGGTGAAGTGGCCACCTACACCCGAAGGCGAGCCAGTGCCTCCTTTTAGCTCGTTGCTGCTGCAGCGATTTGATGCCATCAGCACAAAAGTCAGGACCAAGAGTGTGATGGAAGTGCGACAATTCTACACTACAGTGATGCAGAATATCTCGGAGCTGTTGAAGATTGTGGAGAACGACATTGATTTGACGAACCCGGATCAAGTGCGCATTGCAGTTTGGTGCTGGAGCAAACTGATGGCTGACAAGAGACACTCTGAAAAGTAAGTACCTGCTTCATCTGTCGTACATACAACATTGTACCTATGATGCTAACAATCGATTTTCTGTAGATTCTACTCACTCGATTCGGAGCCCGCGACAGTGAAGACCAACTTGGCCACTTTGCTGCTTCAGTCTATCATTCGTAGTCGCCGCCAGATGCTCAAGGCCAAGTCAGACTCCAGCAACGCACCAGCACCTGGCCTGACTTCCATCTCTGCATGGGTGTCAAGGTCAAACCTCAGCTCGTTTTTCGCCAAAGGAAACGCCCCAGTTACAGAGGTATCAAGTGTGCAGATCCATCACCCAATGGTGCGAAAGAAACACTCTTTGATGCCTTGTGCTGGTTCCTCCTCAGTCACTGAGAATGCCAAAAAGGTCTTGCCTACTGTACAGCCCAACTGTAATTCACCAAGTGGAGTGACATTAAAGCGTAAGCGCATCGCATCGACTGACCGCTCTCCTCGATCGACCAAGAAGAATCGTCGTGATGAAGTGGAATCGATCGCCTTCACAAGTCCCATTCCTACGGATAAGCGGTCTCGGTCTCGTACACGAAATGGCGTTGCGTTCCATACACCACAACAGTCTCGGAAGAAGATTTACATTAAGATGCGCATGGTTCCGCGAGACAAGCAGACCAAGGCGGACGTGGTACACTGTGGCTGTCGACCGAAGGTGGAGCTCAAGTTGTCGTCGACGAAGAAGATCTCCGAGATCACGGCGCACATGAGCAAGAAGTGGGCAAAAGTGCGGTCGCTCGTGCCAAAGGGGGCCATGCTGTGCTTCTTCCAGAAAAATGGGACTGAACGGTGGTCCAAGGATGACTCCAATGTGACTTGCTTTGACATGTGGAAACAATGTGGCAAGCAGACCAACGGTGAAAATGTAGTCGAGGTGTCTTACTTGTGGAAAGTACCAGAACAGGTTGATGATGAAAATGTTCAAGTGCAAGAGCTTATGCCGCTGCTAGCGCCGCCCGGACTTTTCGAGCAGGAAGTATCCACGGTCAAGCAAAGCAACGATGAAAGTGAGACCACGCAGTTGTCTCCTGCCCGTGGCTTGCAGGAATTCGGTGAGAAAGTTGCATTCGATCGAAGCATCGCCGATGAGGCAAAGGAGGAAGCGGCAGCGCTCGAGGCCTTGATGAGCGATAGCGGTGACGAAGGCCTTGGCGAAGAGTACAGTCCGAATACTGGCCGTCTGCGTCGGCGTATCAAACCTCAGCTCGTTTCAACGGAAGAGTTCAATATCTGAGCGTATGCACACTTGTAATAGTACTCCATTGTATTGGAGGAAGCCAAAACTGCCACCGCATCCTTCACGTGTCTACTTTTTTGGCTGAGCTAGCAGGAGGCGGTAGTGGAAGCCACTCTCTAAAGACTTCACCTTCAGGTCTGCGAGCTCTTTCACCGGGTGAATTCCAGACTCAAAGTTCCATTCAAATGCTCGGCCGTCGGCTGCAAACATGTGGCCCGTCAGTAATTATCAATACAAAGGCAATAGCAAGAGACTTACCAGTGACGAAAGAGGATTTATCCACGCCCTTGCCGATTTTTACGATGTCCTTCGTACGCACAACTTGCTCGTTGGTGATCTGCAGCGGAGTCGTGTGCATCTGAGAAGCCACATGAGCAAAGTCGTTCTTCTCCTGGCGCCCCGAAGGCGTACGACCCGCCAGCCAGATCTTGTCGTCAGCTTTTATCACAAGTGGCAAGCAAGGGTGAACGTATTAGATTATAGCGACAAAAATTATTATAAACGGCACTCACCAGTAATAAAAGTCGTGTGGAATTGGCTGCATTTGAAGAGCTTCACAGCGTCACTAGTTCGCACGAGTCGCGGGGTGATCTGGTCACCGTTGCTCTCAGTTTTTCCCTTCGGGTTCAGCAGCTTACCCCACAAGTACAGCTCGCCATCCTCTGAAACAAAGGAACACTGTTAGATTATCAAGAACATTCACGTTGCCCAGGAAATACCAGCTTACCCGAAACAGCACACGAGTGGTTAAATCCAGCGCCTACTTTGGCGATCTTCTTGCCCTTCAGCGCAATCAGTTCTTGAGGCGCATCGGCATTGCCCGTGCCGAAACCAAGCTGGCCGCGTTCGCCCTTGCCCCAACTAAACACCGTGCCGTTTTTCGTCACAGCAAGACCATGCTGATAACCAGCAGCAATATCCACTATTTCGTCACCGTCGATGTTCACGTGCGTGGGCGGCTGGACACTGACACCTTCCTCTCCGATGCCGCATTGGCCATAGCCATTGGCACCCAGCGTGAAGAGCTTGCCACTCTCGGTCAAAAGGAACGTCAACGCTGTAGAGCACACGATCTTCTTGACACGCTCTCCGTCAGGCAGTTCCAGCAGCGCTGGCTCCAGCGTGTCCACTCCGCGTGCGCGCGTGAAGCTATTCATCCACCATACGAGCTTCGGCAGCACGCGCTGCATGTTGGTGGAACGGATAACATCACGGAACGAATGCGTGCGTCCGTAGATATAGGCGTCTCCGCCGTTCGTGATGAAGCCGGCATGGGCCCAGCCAACGGAGATCTCCTTGACAGACAAATTGGTCGTGGTCGGCAGCGGCGTCGGGGTCAGTACGTCTTCGTAGCCACCCGTGCCTAGTGCACCCAGGAACCCGTCGCCGTACGAAAGAAGAATAGCTGGAGCATTGCATAAAAATATAATAGAATGACGGTGGTATGAATTAGATACCAGGAATTACGAGAAGTAAAATGTTAAACGTACGGCTAGGAGAAAAACTGGCGGCTTGCGTGGACAAGGCAGCGGCTACAAGCAATTGCAACAAATTGAAAATTAATATTAGTAAAGCGGAAGACAGGTTAAGTAGAAACAAAGATGCGTACTGCGAACTGCAGCGAGAGCTGGCCGCCTGCATGCGGTGAGGGAGCGCAACGACACCATGGCGATGTCGATCACCACACGCCAAAAAAATGATTAAAAGTTTTTAATCCATTCCTATTGGCTTAAATTTCATCCCTTTATTAATAACTGACCAATCGTTATCGTACAGCGCACAATCTACGCAAAAATTGAAAACGTCCGCCATTTCCACCATTGTCTCTCCGATGAAGACTATTCGCTCGACAATTTCAGCAATTACAAAAAATAAAACTTGTTCTCGGCCTTGCAACACGATCTTGAGGCGGAATATTCACGAGGTGGATCCAGCAGTAAAAAAAAAAAAACGGCTTGGGAGCTACTCCAGGCCTTGATTGCAGAGTGGGCAGGACGGCGCGCGCTGCGAGCTTACTGAGGTGAAGGCCCACTTGTCCAGACACTCGAGATGAAACTCATGCTTGCACTTGCGTAGCAGACGCAGCACGTCTCCCGTCTGGTACTCTTCGCAGCAAATACAGCACGTGTCGTTGTTGGACGGGCCTCCTCTGTACTTAACCAGCAGATCTACAAGCTCTCGGCGCTCCACGCAGCCAGCAAAGTCCACATCACGACGCTCAAGTCGCTGCTTGAGTTCAGCGATGCTGGCTTCGTTGAGCTCTTCGGGTGTCTTAAACTCTTCGGTGGGCATCACCTGGATGGTTCGCAGCGTTCGGTTGAACGTCTCGGAGCGTGCATCTTCCTGTGCGGCCCGGTTCTGGTTGTTATTATCGCGTTGTGCCGCTGCTGCCGATACCTGCGTGTAGGCCTCGCGGAAAAAAGCCACCCAGCCCATTTCAGGGTGCTTTACGTGTAGACACGATATAGTAAGTTAGTAAACAAATACGCTTTTGTATACGTAAGTCAGATTCAATGTATCCAATGCGCACCCGTCCACGGAGCTGGTACAACACGCGACAGAAGCGCGCGGCCTTCCAGAAAGTCATGAGTGAGAGTCCCAGCAGGAACAGGATGGCGACGTTGAGAGCCAGCGACGCGCCCTCGTTGTCCGCAGCATTGCTCTGCAGCAGAGGCATCACCACCTGCACGAATAGCAGCAGCGCCACCATCCATGGGTTGTCCGTCGCGTTGATCATCACAAGCATGGCTGCCACCTTTGGCTACTTTACTCCCTCTTACTTGATGCAAGTTGGAATATGAAGAGCTCTATTTTGTAAATTCGTAGCGTCTTTATCACAATGATACGGCATCAATAGGTACAATGTACCAATTGAGCTCTTGATGCTTGATAATTGAGCTGGGACCATGAACGCTACGGCGCCAGCGTTGATTCCGCCCTTCCGCTTCAGTACGGTGCAGCAGGGGCTGTACCGCGGCGCGTACCCGACGCTCAAGAACTTCCGCTTCCTGCGTCGTCTTGGACTGAAGACTCTGGTGTCTGTGATCCCGGAGCCGCCCACGAGCGACCTGGCAGATTTTTGCGCCAACGAGAAGATCACGCAATTGCACTTCTACGCTGAGAAGTTCACGTCCGATAATGTGACCGTGTCGCCTGCGACGGCAGCACAAATCGTAGAAATCCTCGTACAGAAGAAGAACTTACCGCTGTATATTCACTGCCTGGACGGATCCAATGTCACGGGAATCGTCGTCATGATCCTCCGAAAGCTCCAGAATTGGACCAAACTCGCAACAGTCTCGGAGTTCTGCAGGTGCATTGCAATTATCTATACAAGCGATACTGTTGTACTTAGATAGCTGACCGTAGTGCGTGTGCTTGTATCTGTCCAGATTCACACGGGATCATGGCATCGAGAAGGATGAATCCGAGTATCTGGCAGCCTTTTCAGAGGAGATCGTCGTGACTGCCGACGCTCCGCAATGGCTGTGGAACGGAGTACGTGTGACGAAACACCCGACGATGATCGTGCATCAACCAGACCTAGAGCTCGCAACAGCCAACACGCTGGATGCTGCTGGGAACCCGAACAACGGCGCTCCGAATCTTAAATGGGAGACGGAAGTCGAAAAGACTGAGGCCATTCTACGTCAGTTCGAGGAAGCCAGTCGCAACCGCATTGGAGAAGTTGTCGAGGGTAGTGAGGAGGTGGAGACCATCATCGAAGACGCGCTACAGGACCTCCCACTTACTCGGTCACTCGAAGCATTGGACCTTGCAGGAGTTTGAGGCTGTGACCAATTCTAGAAAATATCTGAAGCACCATATTGCAGCATCGCCAGTTGCACTTCTAACCCTGTACATGTATTACATCTTGTAATTTACATGTAACCCTCTTTGGCGCCGTCTTCGAGATCAAATTGCCGTCATGGAGCCAATAAAAATATGCGCGCCAATCACAATCGGTTATTCAGCTGGTGCATTTTTGAAGAGCACTTTCAGTGTTCAATTGTCAAATGGCATGTCGTCAACCAAGTCGACCCAAGATGATCCGCCAACGAAGTCAAGTTTAGAGGAGAACCCGTCCGGGGAAGAGGCAGCGGCCACCTCGGCCATGTTCGTGTTTACGGCGGACAAGGCGGGTATGAAGGGCGTGGATAAGCAGCATGTGCAGGAGGTAGTGCACAAGATGTCCAAGGACTCTTCCTTCTACCAGAAATCTCTGCGTGATAACGCCAAAGTAGAGCAACGCGTAGCAGCCATGCGCGAGAAACTCGGATGCTTAACAAACGGACAGCTACAGCGTCTGCAGCAGGAGGCTGACACCCGAGTGGCGCAGATGGAGGCGACACGAGACCTCTCGCGCACTATTGTCGTCGTGGATATGGACATGTTCTACGCTGCTGTCGAGATGCGGGACGATCCAAAGCTGCGTGACGTGCCACTTGCAGTCGGTGGCCTTGGTATGATCAGCACAACCAACTACGCAGCTAGACAGTATGGCGTACGTGCTGCTATGCCAGGTTTTATTGGCAAGGAATTGTGTCCAGACCTCCATTTTGTGCCAGTGAACATGAAAAAATACGCCGGTGTGGCTGCTCAGATCCGTGCTGTGTTTGCAGAGTATGACCCGGACTTTGAGGCCTTCAGTCTGGACGAAGCATGTCTTGATATCACGGACTATATAGCGACGAACTGGCAAAAGTATATTTCAGACGCAGAGAATGAAAGCAAGAGTAAGGAGAGCGACGAGGAAGAATGGGCCTCGACGGCTACAGCTCGAGCAGCAATTGCGGCCGCTGTGGTTCGAGAGCTGCGTAATAAGATTTTTGACTGTACACAGCTAACTGCAAGTGCTGGAATTGCAGTGAACGCTATGCTCGCCAAGGTACTGAGTTGTTATTGCCTCATTGCTTTTTCTTTAATCTAATTAGTCTGTCGCTGCTAGATCTGCTCGGACATGAACAAACCGAATGGGCAGTATGTATTGCCGTTCACACGCGAGCGCGTGATGACTTTTATTCGAGAGCTACCTGTGCGCAAGATCGGTGGAATCGGTAAAGTCATGGAAAAGACTTTAAACGAAGCGCTCAATGTACATACTGGAGGGGATCTATTGGCTCAACGGGGAAAGGTTTTTCACTTGTTTTCGGAGAAGACCGCAGTTTGGTTACTCCAGACTTCGCTGGGGGTACGAGAACGTCAAGAAAAGCAAGAGCGGAAGAGTTTCAGCAGAGAGCGCACGTTTGGGAAGTTGAGTGATCCGAAGCAACTTGAAGCCAAGTGTTTGGAGATATGCAAGATGCTGGCGAAAGACCTCGAGAAGGCGAATAAGGCTGCCAAGAACGTGACGTTTGTATACAAGGACATTGATTTTGCTCGCTGTTCAAGGTCACTGTCGCTTGCATCTGCAATCTTCACAGCAGATGATCTCTACTCGAACGCTGTAGAGCTGCTACGACGTGAATTGCCACTCACGTTGCGTCTTATGGGCGTCCGTGCGGCGTCATTGGTCTCTCGTCCTAAAAGTTTGACCTCGTCGGACAATTCCTCTCAACCAGACATTGCTCCAGTAAGCAACAAGCGGCAAATAGCCATCAAAAAATTTGCCGAGCGTATGACCGACCCTGTTGCTGCATTAGGATCAGACACATCACTGGGAAGTCTTGACGAAAACAGCGAACGAAAGATAATTAAGCACAAAGGCGCAATTGCAAGATTTCTGGAACACAACGATATGGAAACATCGTCTCAGCAAAAGAAGCCAAAGAAAAATGATATTTCCCTTAGTCGCGCTCCTGGTGTGAAGTCGACGAGTCTTCCCAAGATTGACAACAAGCCATGTCCAATTTGCGGGAAGCTGTTGAATGCACGGAACAACATGGAGGTGAACGCTCACATGGACGCGTGCATTGATAGAAAGCCGTCTTCATCATCGTCACCATTGCGGCATGCAACACGGAACAGTCATCAGAAGATCGCTATTCCCCGAGCATTCGCAAGTGTCCGAAATACCATGACGAGATCTGATGCAGACTCAAAGCCGTGTCCTATCTGTGGTAAGCTGCTGAATGCCCGCAACAACATGGAGGTGAACGCGCACATGGATGCTTGTGTAACCAGAGATCGATCACCATCGAAGAAAACGATAGGCAAGAAGAGAGACGCGCAAGACATGTCTAGAATCGATATCTTTTTCCAAAAAAAAACACAATAACTACTTCATGTAGCTCTGCTCACTACGAGTGCTCCTGTCTGTGAAGTGGCTGTGCCTGTTTGCTTGCCCACTTTTAGAGTAAAGCACTTCGAAGTAGTATCTTTCTGTGTACTAGTAGTAGCTCCTGTAATATTCCGCGTTCTTCTCTATCTAACGTTAGTACTAGTAACTCACAGCACTTTTACGATTGATGAAGATGAAACTCAAAACGAGAAGAATGGAATGGTCTGCAAAATGAAAGTGTTTTTATGCAGTTGGAATTCGCGGTGTCTAAATCGCCTCCCAAGTCACTCTACATACCACATCAAGGAGATTCTATAGCATAATAAGGTATCAATCGAAAGAGATGGATCTGGGCGCGAAGTCGAAGCCGCTTATTCCTCGTCAGAGTCGCTCCAGTACTCGCCGCGAGCCTCAGCCTCCTTGCGAGCTTTTTCCTTAGCCTTCTTCTCCTTGCGGGTCAGTTTGCGCTTGATTTTCTTCTTGGTGACGTTACCAAAGGCATCCGTGACCTCCTCCTCGTCCTTCTGCTCGATCTTGGTCTTGTCCTCAGCCTGCTGGCCTTCAATCGAGAGGAAACCGGCGTCCACGTTCCACGTCTCCTGGGTCAGAGCCGACGAGAATTCGTTGTGGTGAGTAATCATGACGACACCACCGTTGAACTCCTTGATGGCCGAAGCAAGGGCACCAAGCGAGTCGCGGTCAAGGTAGTTCGTGGGCTCATCAAGCACCAGGATGTGCGGGTTCAGCCACATAGCAGCGGCCAGCACAACCTTCACCTTCTGACCACCGGACAGACCACGCATGCGCGAGTGGGTACCGAACTCGGCACCCAGGCCGAAGCAGTCGAGGTGCTTCTGCACGGCAATGGCCGTAGGCGGGCGAGCCTGAAGGTTAGCGCGAGCGGCTTCGCGGTCATCGGCAATCTGCAGCAGCTTGTCCCAGCCCCACTTCTCACACTTCTCACGCGGCACCCAGGCGTTGTCCTCCACGGGGCACTTCTCCCACTTAAGCTCGTACTCGAAGCTCTTCTTGAATTTACGACGAGACACAATCTCCTCCAGGACGCGCTTCTCGCCCTCCCAGTTCACCGGCTTCTTGTAGTGCTCCTTCTCCTCCTTGGACAGTTTACGGGTCTCCTTGGCCAGAAGCTCCTTGTCCTCACCAGACTGGAAACGCCACTGGATGTACTGGTTGGCAGTCTCATCAAGGTGCGACTCAATGTGGTGAAAAGCGTGCTGAGCGACGTAGGCGAAACGCATGGAAGGGTGCTTCCACACCTGACCACTGGTCGGCTCCACTTCACCCGTCAGCATCTTGATCAGCGTAGACTTACCGGCACCGTTGGGTCCCAGCACAGCGATACGGCTCGAAAGAGCACACGTCACAGAGATGTTGTTGATCGACGGCTTGGGGGCACCCGGGTACTGGTACGAACAGTTGGTCAGACGAATGATGGGCTTACCCTTGTTCTTGATGTCAGCAAGGAAACCAGGCTCGGGGAAGATGAACTTGACGTTCTCCGACTCGAGCTCGTAGTAGGCCTTGGCCTCAGGCTTCTGCTCCACGAACTTGGAGAGGTTACCCTTGTAGATCTTCAGCTTACGGGTCTCGTAGTGAATGATGTTGGTACACACGTTGTCGAGGAAGCCAGAGTCGTGCGACACCATGATGGAAGTAACGTTCGGCAGGCTCGTCAGGTAGTTCTCCAGCCAGGCAACGTTCTTGACATCCAAGTGGTTCGTGGGCTCATCAAGAAGCAGGATGTCGGCCTTCTGCAACATGGCACGAGCCAGCTCCAGTTTCATCTTCCAACCACCCGAAAGGGTACCCACACCCTGGGCCTGCATCTCGGGGGTGAAGCCGACACCAGCAAGAGTGTCTTCGACCTCCTTGCGGGGCGTGTTCTTCAGGTCATCATCGATCAGGATGAAGTCCACAACGGACAGCTCGGCCTCCTCGGCCTGCAGGTTGTGCTCGACGAACACAGTCTTGAGCTCATCGCGGCTGGGGAATCCCTCAAGCTGGCCGTTGGAGATGGCACGCATCAGGGTCGACTTACCACAACCGTTGGGACCGCACAGACCGTAACGGTGACCACGCTTAAGGCGAAGACGAGCGTTGTTCAGCAGAATCATACCACCGTAAGCAAGCGAGAACTCGCAGTTGCACAGGTCAGGGATGCCCTCATCACAGTCAACGTCCTCAATGAAGATCGACTTGTTCTCCTTGAAACAGCGGTCACGGATCTCGTTGGCGAGAGGCTTAATGTCCTCCGGCTTCATGAAGGCCTTGAAGTAAGTGGTGATCTCCTTCTCGAAGACAGCCTTGTTGAAGTTACGAGCCACGACCAGGAAGTAGCAGATGCCCGTGACGTAGTCGACGGCGAAGCTGTCGATGTTGGCCTTGACGGCACCAGGATTGGCCGAGATCGACTCCACAACGACCTTGTGGATGTTAGCGTAGTCGACCTTCAGCTCGTCCTCCGACACCTCCATGGAACCACCAGCCACGAACAGGGTCTCGTGGGCACGGGTAGCGACCTCACGGCATTCCGGATCGGCCTGAGTCTCAATGACCTTCTTCAGACCGGGCAGAAGCTTGGGAATGAACAGCTGGGCCTCAGCGGGGTCGTCCATGAGCTTGCACATGTTGTCAATAATGACAGCGGCCTGACGCTTGACGGCCGTCTTGCCCTCAGCCAGAGCACGCTTCAGCAACGGCTCCATGATAGCAAGAGCGGGGGCCTCCACAGTCTTGACAAACGTGGTCGAAGCCAGCTTGTGCGTGCACTCTGGCACCTCCGTGGGGTTGGCCAGGCAGCTCACAAGAGCGGGAATGAAGGGCTCGATATCCATGTTGCCAACGACGCTGCAGACCTTGGTCATGGTCTCACGAGCAGCGACCTTGACTTCCTTGCGGGTGTCCCACATGCAGTCGGTAACCTGCGGGATGATGTCGGGCAGGCAGCGGCCGACCTGGTAAGGAGCGACCTTGGACAGCTCCGCGATGAGGTCAAGAGCGCCCTTCTTGGTCTGCCACTTCTTCGAGCGGTCAAGGCCGTCGAATAGGATCGGCAGGATGCGAATCGTCGAGTTCTTGTTGGCCGAGCTGATGATGGTCAGGGCAGCCTCCTGGGCGACGGGGCGCACGGCCGGCTTCTTGTCCGCCAGCAGGTCCAGGAACACGGAGAGCAGAGGAACCAGGTAGGGCTCCACGCGCTCAGCGTGCTTCTGCATGAGGTCGTCCACGACGTAAGCGGCCACGACCTTGGCATCGGCGTCGTTGCCCGTCAGGGCATTGCGCAGCTCCTGGGACACGACGCCCAGGCTCAGGTTGGCATCGCCGGCGACGAGCTCCGACACCTTCTCCGCCGCGACCTTCTGTTGGTCGGCCGAGCTCTTGAGAGCCTCCTTAAGGGCTTCCGTGAAGTGCTTGCTCTGATCGATGGCGAGCTTGCTGATGCCGTCGGTTGGAGCGTACGGAGCCATTGTACCGAGAGAACTGTTCTTCCTTGGGGCAGTTGGCAGGGGGTACTGGAGGCGCTCGCTGGGCTTGGGCTCGGCGGAGTGAATTCCAAAATGGCAAATGCCTTGTTGTGGGCGGTGGGGAGTGACGGTCCCATGTGGCGTCTCCGCCAGTCAAGAGGACGAAACCCCCGTGGGTTGCTGCTGACCAGTCAGCGCCAAGGTTGTGGGGCTGGGAAAGGGCGCCGTAGAGACAGCCCCGTACCTGTAACCGCCAAGGGTTGCGTTTAACATACACCCCGGCTATGCATTTCTGCATCAGTAGCCAGTCCAACTTGGCCAAAAACTTTTTCCGCTCCCATTTTCCGCATTCATCATGCTGCTTGCTTGATTTCCGCATTCATCGTGCTGCTTGCTTGATTCATGCATGTGAAAATACCTGAGAAGAATATATGTGACTGCACAACCGACACTGGGGAGTATTAGCGATTGAATGGCAGCGAGCTGCTTGAGATCGAGCGATCCAACGCGGTAGATTGGTTTTGGAGCACTTTAAGGTTTTAGCGTCGCATCTTTGTTGAAAAAATGGCACCGCGTCTTTGCAAAAATGTCGCTTCACTGGCAGCGTCGGCCGGTACCGATTCAGCTGCAAAACCTCCATGGCCTTGCGCCAGCGAGGCTTTCGCTTTCGGTGCGCTAGCAACGGACTTTTGATGCCTATCAACGGTTCCACCGCCAGAGTCGCCGCTGAAACGGCGTCAATTTTCGAGCATTTTTAGAGGTGTTAAAACACTTCAGCAGCATACAAACACCAAGTCCAAAATAGTTAGCCCACTTTACACGAGCTGACGATGAAATGCCGGTTCAGGATCGGCGACACACAAATGATTGGCCGACGTCAGAACGACGCGACGAGGCTAGGAGACAGATGTTCCCACCAAGAATATTAAATTATAAAGGTCACAGCAGCAGTCGTTCTGACCGCCAACCGCGACACATTGTTCTATCCTCGATAGTGGCAGTGGCAGCGAGGCGTTCTTATCGATTCCAGTGGACTGTTTTGGCTTCATTACCGTTATTTGGCATCGATGTCAACGCTCATACCGCACTGACTTCTACGTCTTCGACTATTACCCTGATAATTATACATTTCCGATTTAGCGAGGTATGCGCTGCTACAGGAAATAGAAATGCCTCTTTTCTGGCCAAACGTCTCAGCGTCATCCTTTCTGACTCTTCAGGATTTTCGGGTGGTGTGCTCGCAATGGTTGGCGCTGCAAAGTTCGCGCGGAAGCTGCAGCGAAGCATGCCGGCTGAGCTATTTCTTCCCGTTGCCAGCCGCCGGGCTTGTCTTCACGTCAGGCGCTCGGACGCGAAGGCGTTGAAGGCTTTCAGGAATGACGGCAAGACGTCGCCTGGTACGTGGAATCATCTAGCTCAAAAGTGTTTAACAAAGGCGTAGGTAGCTTCCGTGCCACTGGATGTGGTCTCTACATGGGCGTGGCTGGTTAAGGAGGTCGGGTATGACTGCGTTGGGCTGCGTTGATCCGCTTTATTAAGCTAGTAGGCATGCCGATGCGTGAACACATCGTTAGGCAAAGGTGCTCGACTAATGCGGACGGCACGAACAAGCTCACGCTTCGGCGAATGATAAACCGCGACTTGTGATACGGCATGCCAAAATGTACGTCGTTTCGCACAACATGCGTGTGCCGAGTAGCGAAAATAGCGGGAAAAAAGCGGTGCCGGTGCCCATGCCCGCCCGTTGTTCCGCCTCGTGTCTGTCAACGGTGCACCCGCTTCTTTTCTTACTTGTAAACTTCGGTCGTCGCAAACGAAATCTGCTTCCTTGACCTCGTTCTTGCTCTGCCTCCCATCGCATGGTTGCTGTTCGTAACGCCTCCGTCTTGGCCTTCGTCTCAGCTCTGCCGATTAAATGGTCAAGCTCGCTCCTTCGTAATCTGCTGGCTGACTGGCCTCCTCAAAGTTTTTTTCGCTGATTGTTTTCTGGTGCATGGTTGAGGTTGATGCTGTTCGTTGCTCGCTTGCTTTCGCAATTCGTTTTTCCCCGTGTCGCGTTCACGCGGCGAAATGGCTCCACTGCCCGAGCGTTAGAGCCTGGACCTTCATTCCTCTCCTGCAAAGCTCTTCGGGCCGTTTCTTGTTCAGTCCATCGTCTGTTTCGTTGCCCCGCTCGACTGAAAATGGGTCCTTCGAGCTGCTCCGGTCGCCAATCAGCCCTTTTCCTGACCGACTTGTGACCCGCTCGAACACGTGGACTTCGCGACGCAAGCGACGTGGCGCGAAAACGGCTCACGACGCTGAGTCAGCGAGCCTGTTAAATAGCATATTTCACTCGCGTCGACCAGGGTGATCTCTCGATTGGACGTGCCATCAAGCGCATTGCCAATATACACAACAGCGTACCGCACCGCACTGCACTTCACTTCACTAATACACAAGCAAACGATTCACAAGTTACCTTGCCACGCAAAACAACCACCAGTCCCAAACAACGACACAAAACACACAAAAAGCACTTTTCCGGGAACACCACGTTTCACTTTTTTGATTGGCAGTACCCACCCGGTTCGTAGCGTTCGCGCATGAGCTGCATGCAGGCACGCTTGCCAGGCCACGGTGCACTTTCGTTGGCAGGGGGTTACTTGTTCAGAGTCTCCTTGGAATGGCCCATGGCCGACATCGTAGTGTCCTTAGTGGCCGCAAGCGATTCTACAGCAACCCACGGCGCTCTGGCTGACACACCGTCTAGATCAAAGTTAGGAGCACGAACGCCCGTACCTGGATGCGTGCTAACTGGAATGTACGTCGAGCCATCATCGGCTTGGTGGCTTGGTGTCCATGTGCACGGAAACAGTGAGCCAAAGCGTAGGTGCTGGATAACTGGTAGTTTTTTCAGTACTTCACCCTCGTACAGCTTGAGCATGCCTCCGTTAGTCTTCTCCCACGATGGTAGAGCACTGATATCGTTGAGCATAGGCGATGTCTCGGCAAAGGGTGAACCTGCCTTAACTTCCTTAATAAACTTGATAGCATCCAGATACAAGTACTCCTCGTGGTTAGCCTCCAAGATACCGTCGTCATGCACGCTCTCGGGAATAATTTCGTGCTGTCCGATCAGCTGTGCAGAACCAAAGTAGAACGGGAGACAGTGATAGTCATCCAGACCCCAAACACCGTGAGAGCCTGCCGGTTCCAACATATACAGCTTTTGTAGGCGACGCATCAGCGCCAGATAAGACGTGAACAACTGCAATACAAGCGCTGGGAAATCCGACTGCTTGAAGAAGCCCAGCTTGTGCAGGCAACCTGTTAATAATAAAATAAAAAGATTAAACACAGTCAGAAATCTCTCCATAGGCAACTAACTGCATATTACACGTACACATCCACACAATGAAGCTGGTTTCATGACCCGTGCCGTAGTCGATCCGGACACGGTTTCCGAAAGAGTCGTCGAGGTAGGCAGCCAGCTCGGTGACAGCGCCACGCAGATTCTCCGGCAGCATATCCTCCTGCATAGCTGGTGTTTTCTGCTCACCATACACAAGCACAAATAAACAATAGTGTCAGTTTGAGCTGGCACAGCCGTCAGCGCTCGAGCCTCTCTCACCTCAACGACTCGGTCATAGAATGTGCGGAAGGCCTTGTTACCGAAGCGCATAGGCTGCTGGATGGGAGGGATATCGTCGATCCATGAATTGATCTCGTTTATTAGATCTACGGCCTTCTGAACATTCTGAAAACGCCACCGCAAATACCCAAGTACACACATACAAAAGATTAGTTCTCTCAGCTCCACATCTCGTCCTGGATCAGCTGCCGACGCACCGGTGAGACTTCATACTCGCTGGAAATGCGCTTGCCCTTGACGCTTTCGTTCAGGTGCTTCACAAATACCAAGATCATCTGTTGGGCCTGTGGATATATCGAAGAAGCAGGTTGTTTAAACACAAAGCAACGGCAAGAGGTAGGGAAGAGCACCACGTTAATGGGCACTGCAACGCGTACCGGAGAGCCCAGGAAGTGACGCAGATCGTTCTGCGCGAAGATGGCGCGCGAGGGCTCCTTGAAGCCGCCGCCAGCTTCCAATTCGCTCATGTTGGCGCGTTCCTGCTTCGTTTTCTGGCTCCCTAGGAATTCTTAGCTTTGTCGCGGTTAAGTGCGAAATTATGTCACTAATCGTTAGTGACAGGCAACTTCAACGTGGATTGGGAAATCTACTTGTATTGTGCATTAGATTTTATGTCCAGCTTGCTTTGCTCTGCTTCCCACGGCTTTGCTATCAGCAAGAATTGGTGAAAACTAGAGCTGAATAGCGTCAAAAACATACGCAGGAACGTGGCCGTCGAGAATGCTGCGCTTGATCTTGGCGCAGCGAGCGAATTCAAGCATGAAGATCAGCGTGTTCACCACATCCACAGGCAACTCAGTTGGCAACGAAGATTTGCCCTTCTTATCAGCCTTCTCGGCGAAAATGTCGTTGACCTTCGTGCGCACGAATTGGCCCAAGTAAGCCAGGAACTTTTCCGTGTACGACGGGTGGAACTGCTTAAAGATGGTAAGGATACCAACCAGCAGAGGCTCGCCATCGATGGGATTCTTTCCAACGCGGCTGAGCGCCCCGAAGTTGCGGTCGTACTGAAGCTTCGGCATGTAGGCGACCACGAAGAGCATGAACATGGCCGCTAGACCTTCCATGGGCTCGGCGACTGTAACGTAGATCTTCTGGAACGGATCGTTGGCGCCGGTATTCTCCAAGTATTTGTTCAGCTCAACCAGCACGGGGTTACCATCGCTGCCAGGGTACGGTTTGTTCTTTGGGTCACGGTAGTGCGCGCGAATATCGTTCAGCAGCGAAATGTTTAGCGTATCCAGCGTCGTCGCCAACAAATTAGCATCCAAACGGCTCGAGAACGAGAGTTCACTCGAAATTTGTCGTCGGATGAGTGCTGCTTGACCGATAATAAGCACAGCCTTCAGCAACTTACTCATGATCTTCTCCACTTTTTTCAGCGCAGCATCGTATAGCTTGGTCGAGTGTTCGGGTAGCTTCCACTCTGGTACGAGCGCTGCAGAAAGCTGATCCAGGAGTGGGAAGTAAGGCGTCACAGCTGAACCCCAGAACTTGACCAGGTTGTTAAGCGTGTGGACGATACGGAACGAGAGCATACGGTCCAGACCCGCTAGACCGAGTAGTCCCACGCTCTTGTGAAGAACCGAGAAGGCACCAATGCCGCAGACTTCGTTGCCATCTTCAGAGAACCATCCGATTGACTGCGGGGAGTAAATGGTCGTGTGCGGATCGGTCATGATGAAAAGCGCATGCATAAGGCGGCCCATGAAGTTGACACTCATGTCACCAGACGGCGGCTGGAATCTCGGGATCGGGATAGCACGACTCTGGTACTGCGATGCACGGTCGTACACCTTCTTCTTCAAGTATCGGTTGCATTCTTGCTCGACGTTGTAGTTGATAATACGCGATAGTTCCTCGTGCCACATTCGCAGACCGTAAATGCCGATGTAGTCCTGAATGTATTCGAACGAGAGACGGTAGGCATCCAGGTTGGACGCTAACTTCACGAAGATCTCGTTGCACTCTTCAGACGTATTCTTCTCGAAGATTAGCACCTCATGGAAAGCGAGCGACACGCGGTACACGAGCTCCTTGCGCAGCCCATCTTCCAGTACCTGTCGAGGGTCCACTTCGATGATACCAAGTAGCGTTCGCTTCATCGCCAGAATACCTTCCGTGTATTTGGAGACCTCGTTAGTAGCACGTGCAAGACGATAACGCTCGTTCAGCTGGGCGTGGTTCTTCAGGAGGGTGTTCTCGAATTTCACAGGAATTGGCTTCATGTGGTCAGTCTGTAGCTTGATAATGCCCGCGAGAATACGGAAGACACTCTGAGGAATGACTTCCATCACGCGCCGTACGTAGTCCACAAGCTCGGCCGAGTAATATTCAGCCACCGAGATTACATCCTCGGAACCGCATTGATGAATACGCGTAAGCGGCACATCCAGGATCGACGCAAACTTCAGAAACATTGCACGCAGCAGGATAACAGAAGACGGATCGTTTTTTACGCGCTGGTGCAGGATCTTCATGAAATCGTTGATGATCTCCCAGGCGTATGACAAGTCCGACACATTCTCGATAATACCCATGACCTCATCTCGAATACGCACGGTGCGCACCATCTCAGTGAGGAATTCGCGAGATTCCTCAAGGTATGCCTTCACTTGCAAGTTCGTGTCGATCTGGTCAAACTGTTCGACGTGACCCAGAGCCTCAATCAGGCGCTTGATTCGTCGCCCAGCCTTGATGTGATCAACGTAGTCCAAACTGTTGACTTTCTCAGCCAAATCCTTAAACCACTTCATAAGGTCCTCGTTGCGTTCCACACGAGTCAGCGGTTTTTCACCGGAAAAATACTCGCTCAGCTCCTCCATGCGCTCCGACGTTTCCTTCATGCAACGCTGCCATCGATCTTCTTTAGTGGCAAGTAGAGCCTCGAACATTTGCTTCAGCTTCCACTCCAATTGAGAAACTTTAAGCAGTAGCGTGATCAGCTTGTCTGGGTCAGTGCCTTTATCAAAGATCTCGCGCTGCGCCGTGGAATTCTCCATCATGGGAATCACCGGTTGAATACGTGAGTGCATCATCGTCCATCGGATCGTCACGTTGGCATTACGGATGCAGTTCAATAGCGGGTCCAAGTTCTCCAATACGTACATTTCAGTGAGTACACCTTCCGTTAGGAAGTAGTTGAGTTCATCAATGGACCGCTGCGTCTGTTGTGCCTTCTTCTTGGTAATATGCGCGATATTCGAAGGCTCCAGCGTGTTAGCAAGAGCCAAGCGTGCCGCAGGGTAAGCTGCCCACTCCAGCGACAAATCAGCCACTGCTCCCATGTATGTCGTCAAGATAAAGTTGTCGTTGAAGTGACGATCCACAATTTCACGCATACTCGCTTTCTCATGAATGAGAATATCCGGAGCAAAGAACAAAATCACAAAAAGCATCGACGCCTGCGCTGCAAGGCGAGTGGAGCGATGGGTGCGATGTGGGAAACAGGGTTCTTGAAGGTACACATCGTCAGACTGTAGTTTGCCGATCACCATGCTCACCACTTCCTCTGGAGGTTGAAAGCGCTTAAAGTATCGCTCCGGATACTGCGCCGGTTTAGGCTGACCAGGCAGGTACCCCGTCACACGGCAGAGCTTGCAGACCTCATCAATGTTTTCCAGCGCAGACTCACCCTTGCTTCGGTAGAATGCGATGACCATTTTCTCTCGTGTCGGACCGGGGATCTTGCGGTCCAGTAGTAGCAAGATCACTCCATAAAGGTACAATGCTTCGCACATGAGCTGTGCGCCGTCCGTATCCAGCAGGATATTGGCTAGCGTGTGTTGGATGAAGAACCCTTTCTCCAAATTGTCCAGAAACTCCAAATAATCGCTGATATACTGTACGCACACGCAAAATCACCCAAGTGAGCCGACGCTAATTACTTTTCAGAGTCCAAAAGTACAACAGACCTTGTAGATGCCATCAAACAGCTGATAGAATCGATCCAAAATGTCTTCGTGGTTGTCCATGAACTCGTCGTCCACGTCCAGCAGCTCCTACAGCGACAAATCAACAATAAAACCCATATTATCAGATCTAACGCTCAAATAAACCGCATATTGACGCAATTCCACCCACCGTGTTACTGTTGACCATGTTTTCAAAGTCCTCAGGGTTCTTCAAGTACGCGAAGTCAAAGAGGATATTGAGATACTTGAGCTGCTCGGGATCTTCCACGTGCGAGGGCCCCATGAACACGCTACACCATGTAAACATCACGTCAGAAATGTACTCGCTAGTCTTCGTCCTTTGTATTCCACACACCCTGGAATGTTGTTGGACAAACGCAGCAGCTCGGCGATGATGGCGCTGCCACGACTCACGAGACGCAGCAACGTCTGTCCGCAGTCGTTCTCCTCAGCGAGGAACTCCATCGCCACTGAGCACGTAAAGTGGAAGCCGAGGCTTGAAGCAGATTATGCCTCTAGCGTGGCCCCCTTTGAGAAATCCCTATCCCTATGCTCCGTGTGGTGCACAAAATAATTTTTACAGTAATTTTTAAGTAAGGAAATAATTGTTTCGTGAGAAAATAATTATTGCACTTTTTTGTTTCGCACAAAACAAAATTAAAAAATAAAACAACTAATTTAATTTAGACATACAGACAATCCTCTTCGGAGTGATATCCCAAATAGTGATACCCTCTAGTTAAGGACTTTGGAGAGGTCTACTACCTCTAACCAACCTCCATATTGTACTTAGTGCTGCTATTACTATCAAGTGGCCGTTAACTATAGGGAGTGCCCGTTTGGTGAGCAACGATATTTGACTTTTCTTTGTAGAGTCCGAAATCCGCTCATTGCTCGAGGCGGCACACCCATCGCGTCATCATGAAGAAAGTGCGTGGTCATTCACTGCAATCGCAGATCAGCAGAGTAGCCATAAAGACGATGGTACTCTTGTAATGGTACAAATGCTGCTTCTCTAGATAGTGATTCCGCCGGATAGTAATAAAAGTGACCTCCTGGCGGTATCACTACAAAGAGGATTGTCTGTATTCAGTTTTATAATTTAAAAAAATGTTTAAAAAAACAGTGGAAGTGAGCAACCAATCAAATGAAAAGAAAAACATCGAGTACAATTTCATGTGAAAAATAGCGGTACTTTGTGCTGTCGAAATGTACCTGGAATTTCCACGCTGGGAACCACCAGATAAAGCTTGGGTTGAACAAACGGTGTGATGTTTTGTTTTAAACAATCAAGACCAATCCATTACTTCCAGAATCGGAAGGTGTGCAACATGTCCACGACGGCATCTAGGCTAATACGCTTGTTTGCCTCGTAGCAGCACATGTGCTCGATTAGGCTCCACTGAAAGTTGGTTAACTTCTTCGGACGAGGCGGGAGGATTTTCCGCTTGGTCACATGGAACTTCACAGCAACTTCAAGAGTACCAGCCCATGGAAATTTTCCACTGAAAAGTTCTAAGATGCACATCCCAAAGCCGTAAACGTCCGACATCACGGTGGGGTCTTCACCCTTCAAGTACTCGGGAGCCTTCCATGGCACTGCTCCAACATTAGCGTGGGCTGTGTGTCTTCCTTTGCCTGACCGCTTCAGGACGCTCATTCCAAAGTCTCCGAGTTTGATAGTCTTGCCGTCTGTGCCTACCATGAAGTTGTTCCCTTTCAGGTCGCAATGGACAATACCACGTTCGTGCAGGTACTTTAGACCGATCCCTGCTAGCAGAAGGCAGCGCATGATATCGGACGGATCAGCTCCTCTCTCTTCAAAGTTATAACCGGGTCTTGCACGTGCAAGTGATTCCACGTGAGAGTTAAGCGATATCGACTTGGCCGGCTCACAAACGAAGAACGGAGTTCCAACATGGCACGCTCCGTAGAGATGGACGACATTCTGGTGGTTCAGCATAAACCAATGGTCCGCTTCACGTCGAAACAACGCCATCGTATCTTCCTCACTGGTCCCGCTATTGCTTGTTGGTGGCGAAGGGTTCTTTCCTGTAGATTTTACAGGAGTCTGTGGCTTCAGGATTTTTACGACGACGTCTGTATCGAACCATTTGCCGTAATACACAGCTCCAAAGCCACCTTGGGCAATGAACTTACCCAAGACCACCTCGTATGGAGGAATGAACCAGCTAGGAACTCTTTCAGCACCGCCACCTACCGTCCCCAATACCTTGAGAGCCTGTGTCATAGCGTCCAAAACAGAGTTCGGATACGAGCTTCGACGTTTGTGCAGCTCGAATTGAAGTAACATTTGTGCTTCAAGCCTGTCTTTGGGGTCGCTCAGCTGCTGCAGTAATTCCTCTGTGCTCTTGAGGCAAGCTTGAAAGGCACGAAGCTGCTCGCGGCGTAGTTTGTTCCATTTGATCTGCCAGTCGTGAATATCTTGAGTGTCGGGGGTCATGTCAATGGAGTCGGTCGAGTCTTCACGAATATCAGCCAGCGTCGGGTGGGTAGGAGCAGATGACGACGCATTGCCCAGCTCAGTGAGTGTCAGTAGACGATCGATCTCGTGATGGAAGATAGCGACGTTCTGCGCTGCAGCTCGTGATGCACAGAAACTCGCGACCACGCTTGTACTCGACTGTTCCTTTCCGAGATCACGTCGTGTAAGCATCTCGTAGAACAGATCCAAGACTCCCACAAATCCTTCCATAACAGTGATGGCATCCCTGACATTTTCACGTGTTTGAAGCTGCGCGTAGACACCAGATAAACGGTCAACCACGTGCTGCAGCATTGCTTCGCTAGACCCTTGTATCTCCTGGCACTTCCTCTCTAGACGAGGCATTGCCTTCGCAACCTTTTCATTCATTGTCGGCACGATAAAGTCGTCAATATCTTCTGGAGGTATATAAGTTGCTTGTGCGCTTGCCTCACTCAAATCTTCTTGTTCTGCTTCCTTGACGAGCGATCGAAGTTGATGCACAACATACCACATACTGGCTCTCATTTGCGGATTCCTCGCGCACATTCTTTCAACTAAGTCCCATTCATGTGCGTTTAAGAACTGTGGGCGCTCAGGTGGCAGCACTTGAGCTTCTTCATCACTGTACATGGAAACCCATCGACGAGTGTTGTAGATGGCCAATCCAAAGGCAAAAATGTCGTTCGGTACACTCCACGTAGGCACATGCAGCCCATGCACGTGAGCATCATCGTGGTTCTGTGGGAGCGTTGCAGCCAAATCCCGCATATTAAACATATTCGACACGCCTCGCTGTAACGAGGCCGACACTCTCCTTTTAACAGGTACGAGCCCCAATCCACTCAGAACTCCACTAGCAGTAACATGATGACGAGCCAGTAGTCTGTTATCGTCAAAGTTTTTGTATCCAAGCTCACGTTCGTGTAGATACTGGAGTCCAAGTGCCCAGCCAAGCAGAGGTTCCCACGACTGTGCGTTTGCTCGATTCGATATAAGAGGTTCCGCCGGTTCGTGCACGACGAATGGCTCCTTACCAATATGACACGCACCCAGCATCTTCGCCACATGAGGGTGGTTCAGATCTGCCCACACCGTAGCCTGGCGCAGACACGCCTCTTCCTCGTCTTCCCAGCTTTGATGGTCCCCTCCACGGTCTCTTAGGATATCTCCTGTCTCACACTTGCTGACTCGGACAGCGTCCAAGTAGTAGATGCCCCCCTGGTCACACACCAGGTCACTTGGTGACAAAAACCAGCTTGGCGGATCCCCGACTAGCATAAAATCAGAATAACTCACGACCCGATCATAGACGTCCGAGATGACGTCGAGCTCCTCGGGTATTAGGAACTTTTCGTAGTGGGTCAAGCCATATTTTAGCAGCGTTAAAAGCTCCATCTGCTGCGTCTCGTCGCCCATGGCTTCAATTAATCGCTGTTCATCGTTGAGGATGTCTCGAAAGAGCTCCACACGCTCTCGACGCTCGAGGTCCAGCTGCCCCCTCCACTGTCGGATCTCCTCCGTCATCTCAATGCTCAATACTTCCATATATGACTCCACCACGCGACCGAAGCGCAGAAGAATGTCCACGACGCGTCCAGTCGACGCCAGCTTGAGCAGCACTCGCGTCTCCTTCTCATAGGCGCTGAGTTCGCCGGATAGATTCAGACCGCGACGACAAGAGCTGTTTGCCGTCACGAAATCATTGCGCAAGGCCACTAAGTAGTCGCCCAGGCGATCGGGAGTTCGGATCGCATTGGGCAGGTGGTTGCTCCGGCGCCATCGATTGATCCGCATCAGTGTGCTAAAGGGGAAAATGGATACTGTGATAGATTTCGTTGGGTACAGTTGACAAAATCAGGTTTTGATCGTTTTTAACAGGGTTAAGAATTTGATTGGCTAATTCCGGTCACTTCAACTTGATGCAGTCCAAAATAGCACAAAAATGGAGCTCGGCCTGGCATGCAAGTCACACTGAGAAAAAATGGTTGACGACGTCCAGGAGTTTACCCTTTTGCGCCGCTCCTCCCTGGCCTCCGGAGTGGGGCATCTGCTGGTGAAAACAAAGCCGCAAGCTGCCGAGTGCGAGGGCACTGAAAATCGTGTTGCTGAGGGGGTGGTTGCGACAGATTTGGTTGGCCACCATCGGAGCTTCGATGGACTCCGGATTATCCTTGTGTCTATGGTGACTACATGCTTGGGGTGGACTGTGTGGCTCTTACTTCTCAATATCGCACCAAACAACATGGTCAATCGTATCATGGACACAAGTAACTTGGAAAGTGGATCGTTTTGGCAGTTCGTGGATCTGCCGCTACCAATTTATGGGTTAGCCATCTTCGGTCTCACAATTATCGGTCTTGGTTATTCGTTCGTTCTGATCAAGCTTATATGGAAACGGGCGCACTCGCGGGTTCTGCCTGAAACCGGAGCGCTCGTAAGAATACATGCATTTTCAGCAGGTGTCGTTGATGCCATTAGGCGCGTGGCCACGGACAGAACCTCAAGCAGATCACTTTCCTCTGCGGCAAGCTTGGTCAGTTCACTAGCCTCCAGCGAAAGTATTGCTCGTAAACGGCTTGTATGTACACGTTGTCATTTGCCTTTGTAGGTACAAACTAACTTGTATGCGGTTAATCACGACAGAACCTCTGCATGAAACTCGTGGACCTCATGATCGAATTAGTAATGCTGCTTCAGATACTCGAAGACGGACTGCCAATTGTACTCGTCGCTGTCTTTACTGTCATCGTCGCTGCAAATGCGGTTTGGTGTGCTTTAGTGATGCTTCTTCCACTTAAACAAACAGTGCTGGTGGAGAACCTCATTGATCTAATGTACGTAGCCTGATTGAAAAACTTGTACTAGTAGCGTATCTTCTAACGTCGTGAGCTGCTCTCTACATGTAGATTCGACTTATTGATTGCAGTCGGATATCCCATGATCTTAGTATGCTACTGCCTCTCGGCGTTCAAGTTCGATCGTGCGAAATTGATGATCAATCAAGCGGTTTTCCCGCAAGGTTGGCTGGAGCAGTCTGCTAGTACCATCGCCGATCCCGTTCAAACTGTTGTGATTTACAAGACCTTGAATTCGCTACGTATCTCCTCTATATTCAACTTCTTCACACGAATGGGTATCAACATCACACTGTGGCTCAAATGTCAACGTCTCATGAACCTAATGGAGAATCCGCGAAGACAGAGCAGCAGCGTGTACCCCAGACATTGTCGGCTGGCAGCATCTTCTCTCGTGGCCTTCGCAATATTCGTGATCATTTACGTAGAAGAAAGCACGAGAACGTCAGCGGTAGCGTGTCATCCGCACCCTGAGTGCGTCATAAATGCCCGGCGCTGGCTTATGCTGGATTCACTTACGCAATGCCCGTGCTTAGCACTCATCGATAATAATATCGCACCGAAAACGTATTCTGAGTGGATGGATCCGAAAGATATTACTGCCAAGGTCGCGCATTTGGCAACTATGGGTCTTCTCCAGATCGTTCAGCTCACCAATCGCAAGCTTGAGGTGCTACCAGAAGAACTGCGAGGTTGCACTGATATGAGATACCTGTAAGTTTTTTTGTGACTTCAATTGGAACATGCTGACCATTTTTTACCCGTGTTTTGCCCTAAGATCACTAGTGTACACCCACACACAAACTTTTCCAGTATGGATTCACGAGCTAACACAGCTCGAATATTTGTAAGTAACAATTATCGGATATCGGCTACATGCACTGATCGTTTTGCTGAGCTTTACAGACGTGTGGAAGGAAAAGCAACAGTTGGTCTAGTTAGCCTCCCTGCTGACATGTTTGACGAAATGTCGTCGCTCACAACTTTACATCTCAGTACGAATGTGCTTACGCGACTGCCATCATTCCACGGGCTCAAGAGTCTCAAGCTTCTTGCTCTCGTGGCCTCCATGGCGTTAGTGGAACTTCCTCCGTTTGACAGTCTTCACAAGTTAGAACGGCTAATCATTGTTATCGCACCACTTCTCGACAGCCTTCCAGACCTTTCTCCCATCTATGATCTCAAGACTTTTGTCACTATGGACAGAGGAACGTGGTGCTGTAATGGTTTTTTAGGCAAGTGTGATTTACAGAACCCGATGTGTGGGATTCATCCAGTCTGGGGAGTACCGGCAGCTACCTGCTTACCGATCAACAGAACAGAAAAGATAGCATCACGTGGAACGCTCGATACGATAACAAAATTCTCGATGAGCGTTTGTGGCGGTATGCATTTCCTTGCTGACCACCAACCTCCACCAATTGAGGAAACTATGGCATCTTGTGACGGGATACTATATCGTCAATGTGAGCTCCCAGGCAGTCCAGCAGCAATTTGCTACAATGCACGATTCATGGGAATCGCTTGCACGGCTAGTACATACCCCATTGAAATGCGTCGGCGTCAGATTGCCCAAGGCGTGGGCGATCCATGTGATCCCGAATATGAAGCGTGGCTTGGTTGCAAGTGACTTAGCAGGCAACTACTGATCTTGAGCAATTATTGCGCTAAAGCTGCAATCGCATTGTAGGCAATCTTGCCTCTGACGCAGGAATCGACAGACGTACGCCGGCGATCTCGCCAATTTTTGGCTCGAATATCAGTTGGCCCACGTGGATGAAGGAGCCGAAGGTTTCTTTGAGGTAAAGGTACCAACGATAATCGTTGAGACGTGCTCGTTGAAAACACACCAAGTCAAAGGTGCAACCGACTTCCTTTGCTCTCGTTGCCAACTTGTCCATTGTCGCGATCTTGCGAAAGCCTTCAGCTTCGTAGTTCATGTCCGGCAACATGGAAACTATGTAATCAAACAAAACGGTAAGAACGGTCGAAATTTCAGAATCTTGGCATGATTTAGCTTAAGTCTTGGTCTAATTTAGTCTACTTCAGTTA